TTTTTTTCAAGGACAAGGCACATTAATCACCATTAGTATAAATGTGCTATTTTTTGCCAAATGGCTCATTTTGAGTTGCTGTTCCTGGGCCAGATGTTAAATTATCCATTAAAGGGCTGTAAAACATAAAAGAACACAATTAAAGGCCATTAGCAAATAGAGGAAGGAAAAAATAAAACAGGGTCAAAACTTGAGAGAATGGAGCAGGTAGCATGGAAACAACGCTGTGCAAAAGTCTAGGAAAATGGGAAATGTGTGTTTGCAGAAGTCTAGCAAGCTTTAAAGTCAGTATTTGGTGTGACCACTGTTATTCTTCAACACACTCTGAAAAAAAGGAAAAATTCTTGAATTCATAATTCCATCAATTTAGGCAAGATCTCCCATACCACTGAAATGCAGCCCCAAACCATCACAGAGTCTCCAGAGTGTTTTATAGATGGCTGTAGACACCCCTTTCCTTAATTTCTCTGTTATTTCAGGCAGAAATTACAAATTTGGATTTATCCCTCCCTAAGATCTGTTTCCAGTGATCTTCAGTTTAGTGCTTGTGTAATTTGGCATACCTCAGCTTTTTCTTCCTGTTTCCCTTTCCTAAGTAAGGATTCTTGACAGCCATCCTTCCACCTAGACTATGTCAAATGTGGCTTCAGTGAAAAGCAGATGGATCATCTGAAGGTCCAGATCCATCTCTCAGGTCCCTTGTTAGGTCTTTACTGGACTCTTTTTTTTTTTTATTTCTTAAGGGCATGGCTGTCAGATACTGTTCATCTGCTGTGGATAGTTTTATACACCTACCACTTCTTTTCTCCTCCAGTTGTCTAATTTCATGTTTTTTGGCTTTGGGAATCACCTTATTATTGCAAAATTACAATTTTATGACTGTTGATCTGTGTTATTGTTGGATTTTTTCCTGAATTCACCCAAAGAAATGGGAACAAATGTGTTTGTGATAAAGCCTGCTAGTAACAAAGTGAAGTAAAGATATATAATTTAAAAAGTTGTTCTTTGCTAAGTTGTCTGTTGCACATAGACACAACACTGGTTTGCCCTTAAACCTATGCCTTTTTAAGCTTGAATGATTCATAGGTCTGTGTTAAATGGCTTGACATAAAAAACAAACAGACACTTTTCTGGTGAGAAACAAGGACTGGATTGAAAATGAGTGAAAAAGTACCACTTTAAAATATGGCTTTTAAAAGTCTGGTTCCTTTGAGACAAAATATAAGGAATTGATGAGTGGCTCAACACTTTTGCGCAGTACTGTGTATAACATAAAAAGGAGTCTGGAACAAACAGCACAGTCAGTTAAACCATAATGACATAACAGTCCATTACATTACAGATGACAAAGATTAAGCTAACTAATCAGACAAAACTGACTAAAAGGAAAGGAAGTGAGCACCGATGATGGCAATCTAACTGCTTTTAAACCAGGCTGTGTGCAAAGAAATGATAATCCAAGCAATAATTCAGTCTTAAGGAATAACTCACAGACTGGATCAAGGAGAAAAAAAATACAAAACTCACATGTACTTATAATTTGTTTCTTGTCAGATGCAGCACAATGTTACTGATAAGCGACCAGGCTACACCTGGATGGTCTTTTTAAGCACTGGATAACCAAAACAACAAACACTGATGATCAGCATAGCATATGTTACATTGCTTCAAGGCTGGCGTTTCAGTGAGGTCTGCCAACTTTGCATCCTGGTTTTGACCCTGTCAGCTATGTTTAGAGGAAGTAGTCTTGGCGTGGTTCTGCCTTTAGGCTAATGAGACTTTTTCCTGCCTCCTGGTTTTCATATAAACTTGGTTAATTGTTTTTTAGTGCCCTGACATATGTTCCAAATAACCTTAGTCTTTAAGTCAATAAACAATCAGCCTACCTTATGCACAATGTGTAACAGCACAGTGCCATCTTGTGTTAACTCATAAGGAAGGCACCCATTCAGTACTCATCAGCCCAGCCCTTCTCAGGAAAGTTCACCTATAATCGGCTGGCAACTTAAAAGCAAGTATGAATTACTGTATAAACT